CAGGGACTTTAAAAGCTACAAATGTATGAAGCTAGCTCATTGACGGTTTTACTCAGGTGCAAGCTTCACGGTAGGGAATCACGTGACTTTTACGGTTACGCGTACAGACAATATGGCGGCCTAAAAACTTCGCTTCACATGTGTTTTTCAGGTAATTCTTTATTATATCCCTTTTACTTACATACGAGACCTGTTGCAGCCTACGCGGAATAAAGAATTATTGCCGCCTATACCTTAGTTTCCACCCCTGTGCTCATAGCTTTTACAAACACTCAAAAATTCAACAGAAATTTTCTATGTGAACAATTATATTTCGGGTAACATTCACGCAAAATTTGTATTTTTTATGAATTTGATTAAACTACGTCGAGTTAGCAAAGAGAAAATGTTCATAGAATTTCTTTATTTGAAAATGTAAATATTAGGCATGTTAAATGTTGACAGGTCATTTTCTATTCCATTACACGAGAGAAAAATGATTTGGGTAACTCCCACGCATACTTTAATTGTTGATAACTCCCACGCAATATTTTATGTGCAGGCAATATCTATGCTGGTCATTTTGACAAATGTTGTCCAACATTATCCACAACAACAGAACAATATGTGGTCAATATTTGAGACCTATCCGTGAATGAAATGTTTCCCACATTTATCACAAACAATATCCGAGATGGAACCTTCCATATCTGCAAAATATGAAAAATGACAACTGTAATTTTACTAATTAAAACAGAAATACAAAACCTCCTTCTAATATTTTAGACTTTTGTATCAAAACGCAACCTAATTGAATGATTTTGGTTTGGTAGGCCTTACGCGAAGTTATTGATGTCCTTGGCAATATATGATTTTACAAGCCATGCCTTTTTGAAATTTATTTATCATATTATTGTAACCTATAAGCAGATGAAGTGTTGTTCGCCCCATATAATTTACGTCCCAAGACGATTCGTCAATTTAGCTGTATTAATTTTATATCTTAGTGATAGTAAAATTTAATGTGAATAAGTTTGAAAAATACATTAAATCCATTGCATTATCAAAACAAATATTGATTAAACTGTTTGAGGTTAAATAATAAAGATGAGTGTTAAATTTTAAGTTCAATTGCCGTGAATTTATAGGGAATAATAAGTCTATTTTATATTCTAGATCCTGGTCCTGGCTGAAATTTAGAGTATTACAGTTGTAGCTTCTATACCATAAATTTAACATGGAAAGGACTGTTCTTGGAAAATGCTGACGTAACTGATGGGAGCAGTTTTTCCTACCAATCATAGGTCAGATTTAAATAGCTTCTTTTTAAAAAGTTTTTGTTGTTTTTTGTACATAATTTACTGTCAATATGAAACTTCAGCTGTATCTTAATTTCTATGCTTTTTTATTATGTAAATCTTAGAAGATGAGCATTTTAAGATAAAACAAATCACTAAGTTGATTAATTATATATAATTTGAGATTGACCAAGTCAACTAGTAACTTCTTATTTTATTTGCAGAAGCAGTAGAAGTATTCAAACACCATCATGAAACACTTAAGACATACCCAGAGAGCTCTAGAAGAAGTACTAGTGGTAGATTGGAACAGATTGTAGCTTAATTGTTAAACCAAAAGGACTTCTTAAATCGTTTGAATTTTAGCTACACTTGAACTGTAGTTTTGAAATAAAATAGCTGAAGTATTTAATAGTGTCTTGATTTTTTTGTTAAACTCTGTTACAGTACTTTGCTTTTAATTAGAATTAAAGTATATTGAAATGACATTGAAACTTCAACGTTGTGCCAACGTTGAACTTCAACGTTTTTTCAACTTTCAAATTCGAACATAAATCTAACGTTATTTCAACGTTTAAATCTGACCATACTTCAACGTTGTTCACCGTTGATTTGCCTGCTGGGTTACTTCTATCAAGGACCTATTGGCGGTATTTTTAATATTATTCAAAATTCTATGAAAGTTTGATGCTAAATGCATCAATCATGATTTTTTTCAATCAATATCTAGGCTATAACCTGCATAGATATTGCCTGCACATAAAATATTGCGTGGGAGTTATCAACAATAAAAGTATGCGTGGGAGTTACCCAAATTATTTTTCTCTCGTGTAATGGAATAGAAAATGACCTGTCAACATTTAACATGCCTAATATTTACATTTTCAAATAAAGAAATTCTATGAACATTTTCTCTTTGCTAACTCGACGTAGTTTAATCAAATTCATAAAAAATACAAATTTTGCGTGAATGTTACCCGAAATATAATTGTTCACATTGAAAATTTCTGTTGAATTTTTGAGTGTTTGTAAAAGCTATGAGCACAGGGGTGGAAACTAAGGTATAGGCGGCAACAATTCTTTATTCCGCGTAGGCTGCAACAGGTCTCGTATGTAAGTAAAAGGGATATAATAAAGAATTACCTGAAAAACACATGTGAAGCGAGATTTTTAGGCCGCCATATTGTCTGTACGCGTAACCGTAAAAGTCACGTGATTCCCTACCTTGAGATTGAGTCTGAAATGATATCTAAGAATTATCTTCAGTCTTACCTCCAGCTTCTTCCATATATTTTATTGAAAAACAAATCAGCAAAACAGATGTAGAGTAATTAATTTTATTAATTTCAAGTAAGGTATTGTATTTTACTGTTTACTATCATTATTGGTTTTGTGGGGTGAGGGTTTATAGTGAAACTTACACTGGAGAAGTCATACAGATCTTTATGTTTCTTTCTTCAAAGTTCAGACATTTATTATTTTCTAGCATGTTAGTGTATAGGGCAGCACAGTGCAGATAAAAGGTATCTATAAGTTTGAAGCACCTGACATTTTATAAGAAGGATGAAGGTTCAAGTATTAGCCTATGTGAAATTAATTAATCCACACTGGTGTTATCATTGTTATAAAACTTCTGTTGATAACTTTAACAAAAATCACAGGGATTATTTGGACCAATTAACAGATTGCGCCCGAAAGAACTCAGTCGAAAAATTTTAGGCCGAACGAGAGGATTTCAGTTGATAGATCCCTACTCTGACCTTTTATTTGAATAACAATAGATATAACCACAAACATTGCCATGTGCTCTTTTATTAACAAATATGTTGTGGTGAAATTCTTATTGTGTCCACTTATCTGATAATTTGAATCAGACAGTTCAGAGATTTATGAATTCGCTACTGAGCATTTGGATAATGCACTCATAGATGGACACCAACATTCACTACTATTATTTTTTTTCATTTTAAAAACCTAAGGATTGGCCTATTATTTCCTAACATGCAAAATATATTTATCCAAATTAATTTTGTAGAAAATCGAGAACATCCGAGCGGCAATATTAGACATATATTGGGAGTTATATGAAACCCGAAAATTGTTTTATACTCGTAAATAGACAAACACCTTCGTTTGAACCATTACTGTATCGATGAAATAAAATATTGACATTCTTCAATTTATGTGCAACAGGAAATATTCTCCACTAAAATAGTTTTTCAATAACAAGTAAAAAACTACAGTTACATAACATACCGCAAGCGAAACACCGTTCAAACACGATAAAATCAAACAAAGATAAAAAGACATTGATCATCAAGTGTTTAGCCTGTATTTAATTTCTGAAAATCGAACTTCGACCATTAATTATTTTTAACTGAAAACAATTTTAATGTAAGTAAAAATTGAGCGTAATTAAAAAAAACAACGTGATATTTTTAAGATTGTGACCAATGAACGATTATGTTAAAATACGTAAAATGAATGTTTATAAAACGCAAAAACTAATTCAAAAGCCATGCGCTTATACAAGGTAAAAAGATAACGCCGAACATTATCTAAATAACCTTGATCTATGAAGCATACAGCTAAATAAAAATGTAAAAGCTTTAAACGTTCATTTTAAATACATGATCTGCAAAGAAAGCATATGAATAACGTATATTGGGTTTATTAGAATTCTTATTGTCAATGCTACAATTTCAACTATTTTCCAATAAAGATTTTTTTAAAGTAATCAGAAAAGTAAAGTGTTTATCGAACTATGAAAATTTCAAGACTATAGATCAGCAATATACAAAAACGGGCGGTGATTTGGTGATCAAATGTCTGCTTCTCAGACTAGGTTAACTATTTAAGGATTTTTTCACAATCATTCTCTTAAACCTTGGGTATGTGCACCTCTTGGAGAAGGCATAGGGAATCAAGAACTAGGGATGGCGAAAAAAAAAAAAAAGATATAACAAAACTTGTACCTGCGGACCAGTTGCTGAAGTCCTGACGAAGGAAGTGGATTTACAGTGTAGGCAGAAACGACGAGGAAGGGCACTCGGGTGCATGCGCCCAAAGTACGATTCGACGGCGCCGTTTGTAGGCACATTTTCACTTTTCGGGGCTACATTTTTTCCATATTGTCTTATATAATTGTACATAAGGGTTCTTATTGGCGGACAGACAATGACCTGATTATGGCTAAAAATTCATATAAATCTTTGGGTACTACCCCCTGGAAAATATATGGGGGCCATTATCAAAATTAATGTTTTAAGGGCATGACTTGTGACATGTCCGGGGTCCGTACTCGATAGGGACAGCTTCTTTATGTGTCTTAATGGGCGGATTAACCCTTATTAAACATAGACTACATACATAGGCTTCTTCTCAGTGTAAGTGCCGGTGCAGAAAGTAGCCCCAAATGTTAAAAGTTAGATACAAACACTAAAAAAGTATTGTTTCAAAATTAAGTTAATACGTTACTAGTTTTCAGACACATGATTTATAATTAGACAATGGTGTAGAAAATTGATGATAATATTGCTTAAACATAATTGAGTAGGAAAATGATATTTAGAAAACATAACACTATTTATGTTATGTTTTAGTTTGTTCGTCTGTACCTAACAGTATCCGAGCTCCATTCAACTATTCAACCGACAGTAAATAGCCTGTTATTTTCAACAGCTGTGAATAACATAAATAATCTATTTAATATGTTTTACTTACATAAGACACTTTATAATCCTCTAATCTATTATTTTTTATCACACAATAACAAACTTAAAGTAACAGGTAGTTCTCGAGTCAAAATACTGCTTTACATTGCACGCAAAGAGACAAGGTCATTTCAACAGGACATTCGTTCAAGATTAGATTCTTATCTATCTATTTTACATTATGTCACGGCTTCTCACATGATATAATTACACGTAAATGTATCCCAAATAGGCTGACTTCTAGCTTTTCACAAGTTGTAAACGTCGTTTTCATTCTTTTCTTGTTATTAAAGTTATCGCGAAAATCTTATTCATCTGTAAACAAATTGTAAACTTCACTTACATGATGGACACAAACGCATAATGGCTCTGAGATTCCTGCTATAGTAAAAAAGGCACAATTGGTTAAGGCACGTTAGATTCTTTTACTAACCTGCATATTTTAAAAACATATTTTTAGATGTCTGCTTCAAAATGCTTCATGACAATAATCGAAACTCTTGGCCTTGTAATTTCAATCAAGAATTCTGGGCTATTAATGTTTTACTCGTACTATATAAATCTATGTAAATTAAGTGACCCCCAATAACAGGCCAGTTTTGACCCCAGGGACATGATTTATATAAATTTTGTGGGAATTGTAGTAAAACAAAATATTATATTATTAATATAAGTCTATATGAACTAAGAGACCCCTGGGTGAGAGTCAATTTTGAACCGCGTGTCATAATTTATATAACTTATGTTGAGGACCACAAGATGATGAAAAATATATAAACTCTTGGAATTGTACTTTCAGGGAATAATTTAAAAAACAGTTTTATTTTGCAAGTCTATGTTCACTGAGCGGCTCCCATTTAAGTGACCTTTTGACAGGCCGCATGAGCCAGATTAATATAATTTTTGAAATTGACCATAAGAAGGTGCTTCATGCAAAATATCTTACCTCTCGAGACTGTAATTTTAGAGAAGACAATTTTTAAGACATTTTTACTAGACAATTAAGCCTATGTAAAATACGATCTCCAGGGCGGGTCATTGTTTACCTAAGAGGCATGGTTTTTGTTACCTTTGTACAAAATCAGAAAATCAGAAGCTTATAACTTTTCATACAGGTCACTAAAGCAATGCTACATTACACATGCACAAGCTTTTGACATTGTAGTTTCGCAAATCAACAGAAGATAATTTAAACAAAGTACCCCGGAGTGGTGCTAATTTTGACCTCATGGGCATTATTTATTTAACCTTTATGGAGGACCACAAGATGATGCTACATGCTAAATATCTTACCTCTTCGCAATTGACTTTTTTACTGTATAAAATATACTGCATGTTAAATAAGTGACACAAGGAACACCACATTTTTAACCACAAGGGCATAACTTTTGTAACTTTGTAACATTTGTAGAGATCTACTAGACAATGCTTCAAGCCAAAATCTAAGCTCTTGGCGTTGAAGTTTCACAAAAGAAGACTTAAATGTATCTTCCCAAATAAGCTTTGTAAACTTATTGACCACTAGAGTAGGGCAAATTTTGACCACATGGGGCGTGATTTATATAACTTTCGTTAATTTGCCTGTGTATCCCTATAAGTGAATATGTATTTTAAAGAAATTGTGGACAACGACAAACGACGTACACACGGCTATCACAAAAGCTTACATCTGAGCACTGTGTGCTCAGGTTGAGCTTTATACAAAGTGGGCATTGCAGCGATCTTTTATCGCAATCAGACCATTGGACGGCATTTCATCGACATGAAAGAAAGAAATATCTCGACGAAAACAGCATAAAGAAAACCTGATTTGATCAAATTTCATTTAACACATTTAACACATTCTATCAAGTAACTTTCACTCCATTGAGATTTATAACAAAAAACTAAAGACTTTTTATTTTGTTTTTAATTTAAAATAGAAGTTGCAATTCAAATCTGATATAAACACTTTAAGTAAATTCTACAAGGCTAAATATCTTTCACAAATTAAACAAAATAAAACATAAAATAAGTTAATAACAAAACAAAAAGTATTACAAAAACAATTACATAAAGGAAAACATATTTACAAATATCAAAGAACAAATAATTCATAATCATTTCTTTCACAACCTTATCAAACAAAAAAAAAAGTTAGAATTTTAAGAAAAGTGAAAAGGTTCAATAATAATTTACATGTTTTGTGCAATAAATAACTAATCTTTTAGTACTTTAACTATATTTCTATATTTTTACATCTTTTTGATAATTGACACTGATACTTCACAAGGTTATACTTTTAAATATGTCTTCAAAATTTTCATGAAAGTTAGCATAAATTTGGAAGTGTTCTGCTTTAAGGTAAGTGACTCTTTCACCCATCACCCCCTAGTCTGTTTGGAGCATATTTTAAACAATGTCCAATGGTGTTTGTGATATCATTTTCACTGAAAAAAAAAAGAAATGTTTCACGAAAAATGGGTAAATAACAAGCAAAATGTTTATCATGGTTGTCTAAAGTCAAAAGTCAGAGATGTAGACAATCATGTCTCTGGAAAAATGCATCATCACACTGTAAGTCTTCCTTAAAACATTATCTTGTATTCCTTTGATTTGAAATTTATTTGAAATCATTTATCTAAAAATAAAATATTTAACCTTTAGATAATTTGAAGGATGCTTAAAAACTCTAGTTTGGTATGGGTTATAGTATGTCAGAAAATTTACAGAAATCTAACTTTCCCATGTTTCTTTTAATATTATTATGTATTATTATAAATTGAACTGACCATTTTCCTAAAAAAAAATCAAGAATATTCACTGAATTAATGCCTTCCGAGTCCAGACTCGCCCAATCTACAGACCGCAAAAACGTACGAATTCAAATTATCCATCTAAATGCATGTATATTTGAAATATAGTTATGTTTTTTTTCATTTTTTCAGTCACTATGCTTAAATGTTAAAACACTATTAAAACTCGTAATTGTGATACATACGAAAATATAATACATAATACCACAAATGATTATAAAACGTTAAATGATTGGAACTCGTATTTACGTCGTATTTTGGTCATGGAAGTCGTGACCAAAATCCAATGTCTGTACGATGTTGTTTTAACGTCATGCTGGGAGAGATATTAATTTAGGGTAAGTTGGCATTAGTTTAGACACTTTAACTAGAGTCATTATATTGATTAAAAAATTAACGTTTAAATTTTGGTGGGGCTGACTAACTAGCCAAACGTACATTGAATACCGAACAACACTACCTGTACACTCGCAGCACTGGGCAAAAAAGAATAAATGTTAATGTATTGACTGACTGCGTAATTTCTTTTATCACGTCAATGCATTGATTTCTGCTAATAAAGTACATCGCTGATAAATTTAACTTTATTAGTCATCCTCGGCTTTATCCGACACCTTATCAATACAATCATATTGAAATAGAAGGAACAGAATAGAATATTTGTACCTCTTACTAGTTTGGAAAAATTAAAACTTGTGGTAGAAATTGAAGTCTTGTAATGTCTAGAATGGTACGACCGCCGAAATTCCTACAGTAGATAGATCTATTCAGTGGGTTAGATAATTTTGAACATATTCTTATGTTCTCATGTTATATATAAGGGGTAAAGGAATAATTCTTGGCACTCAATTCACTCAGAAATGCACTTTTTATTTGGAAAACAATTAGCACGGATTATTATATATTCAAAAGAAAGCAGTGGTAAAAAACTTTTTTGTTGGTTTCATCGCTAAAGTTATATATTATGTTGTTTTGGAGTAATATATGTGGATATATTACCTGCCAAGATTTGATATCACGGCGATGGTGATATTTTATCTTGGCAGGTAACATATCTACATGTACCTCTCCAAAATCAAAATAATGATTTTATTACCCTTCCCGTGCCAAGCAAGACAATTTTATAATAAATCATTGCTGTTTTAAATGAAATGTCGAAAGAACATTGTCTTTAGGGTGCCACTTCACAGCAAAATGACATCAGCTCTACATGAAGGATTTGCTGTCATACCTAACAAATGATAACAAGAGAAAAGGAGTAGTCTGTTAAAGACACATTTTGTAATTAATAGCAAGCTTTGACGAGGTCATTTTTGTTTTAAATACTGAATCAGAAGAGAATATTTATCATTACTCTATTTTGGTAAATATTTTCATTTAACACTTAAACATGCTTGTATATCGTAATTTACACTACGCAACATCGAACCATTGGCGCATCGTCACAGCCCATGTTGTCTACAACGTGAGGTACCCAAAGGCGAAATTTAATGTGTATATTACCTGCCTGGCTCGGTTATATCAAAATCTTTCGGTGGATCAATATCAAATCAAAAATGGGGGGGGGGGGCTGGAAAGTTAATAAAGCTTTTTTACCAATTTTCTGGTAGATTGTCTGTACCTGTATTTGAAATAAATCTTAACACGTTTGTCCAACTATAACTGGAATTTTGACATTGTATGCTTTATTTTGAACGGATTTTTACTTTATATCTAGCCTCAATATTTCCAATATATGAAAGTTACTACCATCTGGACCATGAACTTCTAATTATCAATATTATGAAGAATAGATTGCGGAAGTTTCTGGTTGAAGAATTCTTCTTAAGCTGTTGTTATCATTGATCCAGTATCAACTAATCATTTTGTTTCAAAGTTATTGATGTTTACAATAGATTCGTTGATTTTGCCAACAAGACGTTAAAATGAATCTATTTCTTGTTTAGTACTTTGCATAAAAATGTCTTCCATTTGCCCTTTAATAGAGACATAATCTAGTTTGATGCTTGTTAATGCTTGGCTATTTTGTTGTTTTCCAAAATAGTGCTTTGTATTCTGACCCTAATATATGTCTAGTTGTTCTGTTTTTAATTCAAGTTCTCTTTCTAATTTCTTCCGGTATTTGACGTATATCTATATACCTATTGTTTCTAACTCTTGACCTATTTTCTTCAAAATACCTGTTTGACATATTTCCTGTTATGTCAATTATATTACATGATCTTTATCATCCTTCTAGTCTTACTTCTTCTCAAGAACTTTTACCTTCTTCATCAAATTATTCAATAATTCAGTTTGCTTCTTAATAATGTCACCGTCGGAAGAAGTATTTTTTATGACGTAACT